GCTAGACCAAGCCCGTAACAAGCAAGTCTGTGCGTGGTGGTATGCGCACTGATCGGGCAAAAAATAAAGCTTGTGGACACCAACATCAAACGTTCCGACACTAAGTGAAATTACTGTTTTCCGCTAGGGTGTATACTGTGGTAGGTACTTTACCTTTGTGAAACGAATTCACTGGTCACTTAAGAACGAAGGAGGTTAATATCACAGGACCGAATTGAGAGATAAAATTGACGTTGATAAGAATTTGCAGAGAATTTATAAGTTCAGCAAAGAGGAAGTGACTTCAATCTGATTGGCTCGAATAATCAATAAATTATAATTCAGCCCAAATGAGTAATGGAAAGAACATGTCATTGTCAATTTTGTTAATATTCAAGAAGAAAATTATTATCCTAACATTAGGGATTGGAATCGAAATCTTCTCACTTGTGCAAATTGAAGTTGAAAAGAATTGATGAGAATCATAAATTATTGCTTTGCAAAGAGTTGATGGGAAACTATAGTGAGTGACAATTTCGTTAACATTCAAAGTATGAATTTTAGCTTAAAATTATTTATCGTCATAGCAATTCAGAACTATTTATCGCTCAAAAATCTACAAAAAATCTTGCCTTATATAAACACAATATGGACTTACCTCATATTTGATTGATTTTCCAAGAATTTATTGCCAAAATTCAGTATAAAACCAGGAAAATTCGAATTCATCTTCAGTCTCAAACGTGACTCAATACGAAACGTCTCCAGCAGACTTTGTATCTGTCTATCAAGTGCTACTAGTGAACTCCGTTGATATCACCTGTGTAATCAACCACCCAGGTGAATTTATTGTGAACTGTAACCTTTTGTGACTCAGACGTAAAAGTGAAGTGAATCTCTCGCCAATTATACACAAGTGAACAGTGAAACAACAATGTTCAATTCTAAATGTAAGCAAACTTCGATTTTGTTGCCTGTAACCTCTGCCTGATCATACTACCTGAATATATGTCTCAGTAACTATCTATATGGTGTCTTAATGTCTACAATCTCAGTCTGCCTCCTGCCTCAATAATCACGAACCCATTCTTCGTGAAAACTTCCTCTAGTAGGCCAACGAACGAAGAAAGTTGGAGGCTTCACAAGTTATTGAATGAAAGTATCTTTGTTCGGAGTTCATTCATAAAATGGATTGTTTTTCGAGGATTTCATTCTTCTATTAAATATTCAACTTCGATACATTGTTTTATACGAATTATGATGGAAATAAATAATATTTTCAAATACAAAATAGATAATTGTCCCAAACTAGAGTCAAACAGAAGTGACCTCTAGCATTGGGGAACAGTACCAGAGGCTCGTGGATATTGAGTGGTTCTTAGTCTTACTTTATAGGCAGGAATTCAATCTGACCTGAAATGAAGCATCGTGCAATAGAGCGTCTTTGCGTCCTGTTTCTAGATTCTCCATTTCAGGTCAGTTCGTATTCATGTACTTCATAAAGTACGATAAAAATTACCTGCGCATGCGCATAAGGCAATATAACATCAAAACGTGATAGATTATTGAGAAATAGTGATAGATTGCAAACAAATTTTCGTTCCTGACAAAGTTTGTTACCTACTATCTATTGCAATTTTGTCTTCGAAAATATAACTTTTTCTACATATGCAAACAAGTGACAATTTTGACAAGAAAAATAGGTAGGAATAAAAATGAGGAAAGAATCTAAAAAACGCGAAAAGAACAAAGAAATCAGGAGGAAAATAATAAAGTCAAGAAACGATTGGAAACTAGTAGCAGTTCTAGTTCTAGTGGGTGAAAATATAATAAATGCATATGATATTGGGTTGTAGATGATGATGTCAGACTGGGATGTTGCATGACGTGAGTAACCGAACCTACGATTGGAAATCGAGACAGATCGGCTCATCACATGTATTGTGCAAAAAACCTCTTAGCAAACGTGATATTGACATACACGCATGCGCAAATTGAGTTCAAGACAGACGATGCGGTAATACTGTTAGCGGACCCCGTTATCAAGTTGTTAAAACTGATAGAAGAACGTACGTTTACGTATGGACGTAAACGTGAAAAACAATACGTACGTCTACAACAAAAAAGTAGCATTAAAGCACGTTGAAGCATACGTCTCACGTATCACGTACCAAGCAAACGCTAACCCTACTTTTCATTTTTTTGTGTTTGTTTTCAGTTCTGATTAATTTCATTTATTTCCTTAGCTTTTGCTGGCCAACATTTAGACAAAATTGGAAGACATATTGATACTTCAAGCTATAAATGGTAGCGATGCTAGTAGTGATGATGACTTAGATGATATGTTCATCCTACATATTTTGAAAAATAATGATGATTCAGGTAGAAGAAGGGAATTATATGGAGAGTTCAACCTAAACAATTCATTTGAAGTAGAATGTTAAAATCTATTTCGATTTTCATAGTACGACATTCCAAGATTAACTAGAGCTCTGGGAATACCAGAAAGAATTGTGACTAATGAACGTATACCAGTATCTGGTAAGTATAATGTTGAATAGATTCCCTATGTAGATATCCTTATCATTCAGAATGATTAATCTTCACAATAACCCTTATTTTTTAGGAATAACTAGTCTCTGCATTTTACTTCGCAGACTAGCTTATCTAAATAGATTGGTAGACCTTGAACCATTGTTTGGTTTTTCAGTCACGCCACAGCACGGTTTAGTGTTATTTCCTGTGTGACAACTATTATTTATACAAATAAAAGTCATATATTACAAGAATTAGTGAATGCTACTTTCCTGGATTTTGGTAGATTAGTTCAATATTCTGAGGTATGTTCATAAAACTCTATTACTTTCAGACTCATTAAACAGTTTTCAACTCAGAGGTAGAACTGATTTATAAAAATTTAGGTTGAATCATTTATTTATCACATTTCAGGATATTTCTCAAAAACGGTCTCCAGTCTCAAACTTACAGATGGGACTGCACAAGCCATTTGCAGACCATGAGTATACCAGGAGAACTACAACTCAGGGCATAAAAAATGTCATTGTTTAAAATACCAGTACATGATCTGCCCTGATGGAATTATAATAAACTTGAAGGGGCTATATGAGGGACGCAGGCATGAAGCTGGGATATTCAGGAAATCTGGATTATATGCTGAAGTGGAACAACATACAGTGTTCTCAAATCAAAATCAGCATTTTGTTATTTATGGGGATCAAGCTTCTGGACTCAGACAGTTGATAATGAGACCATACACACAGCATGAAAATGCCAATAACCAAGAAAGGCAGTTGAGTGGGGTTTTGGTAAAGTCATTCAAGAGTTTGCCTTTCTAGTTTAAAAAAAAATCAAACATTCTAGTTACAAGATGTTTCACATTTATATCAAGTTGGTGTCATATTGACCAACTGTCATACATGTTTTTATGGTGGTCAAACCTCCACTTATTTCCAGATCCTCCAGAGTTAGGAGTTTATTTAGGTGAAAATAATGATTGAAGGTGTGACTTTTATTTTATACTACTACTACTGTCATTTCCAGAATTATTTTTATATCTAAATTCATATCAAAGCACTTTCCACTATTAGGACATCATGGGTGGATATATTTTTTTTACTTATAGGTATGCACTTATCACTCAATGTTCAAAAGTGATTTGCTATGATATATCTCTCATAGATTTACATTTCTTAATTGTACTTAGCTATTGCCAATGGAACTCTGATTATACAGATCCAAATCAATAATATTATTATGACAAAATGAATTTTGAGCCTGTTCGAACTTTCATTCGCTATAATTTCATTTGATTGAAATACATTTAAAAATCAAATTATATTGTTTTAGTTTTGCAGGTACTCTGTATTGATAGGTATCACAATAACTTGAAATTGAGCATTTTTTTAAATGGTTTGTTATCACATAAACTTCGTTTAAAATTGAAAGTAATGTGACAAATTCCGTCTTTGATGAAAACATTAAGCGGCGTTCACAACCAAACTTTTTACGGTTTGCTTTTTACGTTTCGTATTCTGATTGGTGAATCTAGACAGTGTGATTGACCTTATGATTAAAAAAAAACTATAAGTTCAAAGCTCATAACATAATGATGGGTGAAATGGAAAAATGGTAGTTACCTACTCACCTAGTGTTCAAAAAAAAAAATCAAAATTCATATCTAGAAAATATATTTATTCAATGGAACATAAACATATTGAATACTATCAAAAAAATAATGGATAACAATATTTTTGTTTCCAAGTATGGATTTGTGGTAAACCTATTTGAAATATTTCAACTACTTTCTATTGGATGGTGAGAATTGACACTCATTTGGTAGGTTTTACCTAAAGTATTTAATTTGAAATAAAAACAAATTCTTCAGTCTTCTGATTCAAGTGATCCCTATTGGATAGTGAGAACTGATAACATTTCATATATGCAGTATATCCTACCTCTTTTTATAAATTAAGAACAAATTCTTCAGTTTTCTGATAGAGTACTCTCTATTCTATTGGATAGTGAGAACTGACAGCCATTTGGTATATTCTACCCCTAGTAACAAAAATAAAAACAAATTCTTCAGTCTTCTGATAGAAAACTCCCCATGAAAACTGTCACCCATCAGGTATATTCTACCTCTAGTAAATAAATTAAAACAAACAGCCATTTGGTATATTCTACTTCTAGTAACAAAATTAAAAACAAATTCTTCAGTCTTCTGATAAAGAACTCCCTATTGGATAGTGAGAACTGCCACCCATTTGGTATATTCTACCTCAAGTAACAAAATTTAAAACAAAAAAACAAATTCGATCTTCAGTCTTTTGATGAAGTACTTCCTATTGGATGGTGATAATGGGCGAATAAAGAAATTATGATGAGAATCTATACTCATATACTAATTTCAATAGTGCAATTTCCAATTCTGCACATTGTTGTGAAGGCAACTGTGACAAAATATCTGACAGTGCAATGCAAATTGGGTTAACATTGTTAACTTAATGGACATCATTTGGTTGAGTAGGCTGAGGAGTAGGCATTGTGGTATTTTTGATAGCCTCAAGAATTTCTTCATCCAAATTTCTTTTCTTCTTTTGTCCTCTAGGTTTGGAAGTTTTATTAGCTTCTTGGGTATTTTCATGAATAGGTATCCTCTCTGCTGTTTCCTAAAAATGAGTGGAATTTACTCACAATATCACAATAATTAGTTCCTGATTAGGCATAATTTCAAATAATGCATGAAATAAAAGCATACCTCATGCAGAGAAGAAACTGTTTTTCGAGGAACATTCACACTGCTGAGAAATGTCAACATGCCATAATATTTCCAAGTAATCTTCTTAGCTTTATCTCTTCCACTACCAGTTGGGACATGCTCAGAATACTCTGATTTTAATTTCAGATAGCGATCTTTCATAGACTTCCACTTTCTTTGAATTTGGTCCAAAGACCATACACCATTCATCATTCTGTTTATTTCCAACCATAATTTATCTTTTATCGCCTTAGATCGCTGAGACAATGGCAAAGTGTGGTCCCAAAGTGGCCGTCTTTCGAACACAAGTGTTATTAGAACTTCCTCTTGTTCTATGTTGTGATCTTTGGTTTTTACTGAGATGTTTCTACTTTCTACCCTTCCTGCCAAGATTTGAGATTCCAATTCTGGAGTTTCATCACTTTAAATTGATAGTTCTTCCAAATAGCAAGAATGTTCATAAATATCCTTATCTTCCACGTTTTCTTGGCAAGTTTCACAAAAAAACTGCAAAAGCAAAGATATACAGTATATACGTTATTGTTTTAATAATTATTTATAATAATACTATCTTTGTTACATATTATATTATTGGAATCACAACTTACATCAGTGGTATTTTCCATTTTATAGGTTGAGTATTTATTTGTTTATACTTTCACTACTATTTTCACAGTTCACAGATAATGGCATCTTGAAACGCAAAAAGCTGAAAATATTCAGCTTTTTGCGTCATTTTAATTCCAGATTTTCCTTCACCAATCAGAATACGAAACGTAAAAAGCAAAACGTAAAAAGTTTGGTTGTGAACGCCGCTTTAGAAAGAACATGAGAGAATTTGTTGTTGATTTTTGAACATGTTCAGCTCAATATCCATTCATTTTTCTTCCATATCCAACTTCTTTTCTCTTTCATAACTTTCTAATCCAAATTTTTTCTTTGGAAAAGTCTGTGTTCTTTCTTTAAATTCAATTTCTCTTAAACGGATCTCATGAGCCCTCTCACTTTTTTAACCATATAGTTTAAAGTTGTTTGTTTAAGTCAAGCACTTAATGCTCATTTTCTATTTGGTTCTGAAAATATATCAAGATTGAATAATAAACATCATTCTTTTTGCTGTACTGAGAGTGAACTATGCAAACTGACTTGGACTGCCCAGAGTGGCAACTATTCAATTCACATTTATCAACTTACTCGAAATATTTCTTGGCGTCATTTTAACATTGATGGTCTTGATATTTGGATTTTTGTTCTGTTCAAGTTCATCATTATTATTGGCAGGCATTGATCACATGAACACTTTTTGGTTTACTTACTTATTTCCAACAACTTTCTCTTTTTCCACAAACTTTTATGACTAGTTTTTTCACCCGGTCTTTCATGGTTCTAACTGTTATACTTTTTCAAGTGATTTGCATAATATTCACTTAGATGAGATTCCAACGGCCGGTGTCTTCATAAAGACACACAACTTCCCTTGACAGATGCGAGTCGTCTTCCAAGGAAAAGAAAATTCTTTCAACTGAATTTTCCATGATTCCTTCCTAATCATGATTTGTCTCCAAGTGGAGAATGGAAATGTCTGATTTTATTCATGTGAAGGACAGGACAGAAGTGAAAAGTGTGGTTATATTTTAATGAACCGAAGAGATTCCATCGGTTGATGTATTCGCCTAGATTCGATTCAAAACGATTTGCGTTAGCGTCACCGCAGGGAGACGTAAACATACGTCAAACGTATCTCCTGGCGTGGGAAAGTTGCATACTGCGCATGCTTACATGTCATTTCATGCATTTCTTTACCTAATCAGAATTACACTATACGTTTCACTTTGCGTTATCCTATGATCAAACATAAAGCGAGAAATGCTTGATTAGGCATTCCAGAACACGTGACCATACGTCATTGAAAATGACAGCCTGTAGGCACACAAAACGCGAACAGGCGTAAACACCCCATTGTGAAGTTGTTTGTGGTTGTGTTATTGTGAAAATGGCTGTTTCGAACAAAAGTGACTATTTATTATCCTTAGAACAGGACAACAAAGACATTGCGTATAAGGAGAAAATTATAGTAATTCAGGGTATTGATCCCCATACTCTCACTTCAGAAGGTACAAACACTGCTGTAGAAAACTTTCCACCTGTTACTGCATTCGATATGAGTGCGTATCTACTGTTGACCCATAGTTTCTACACAAACCAGCAGATGAAGGCTTACAAAAACTGCCTATAAATACTTTGAAGCTGGATTTGTACATGCTTGTGAGAGAAATAATGTTAGAGAGCATATTGTTGTAATTGCAAAGGTTCTTGATATTTTGTAGTATTTGAAACATTTTTCTAAATCAATCTTATCTTCACTTTAGGTCAAGCATTCACAGCGGATGAATAATCCTTCCTTACAAGTGTGGATTATTTGTGAATAAGATGATGCCATATATCCAGCTCATTGTACTTGCATGGCAGGCCAATCCGAAGTGTGCAGCCATGTACTATACCCAGTCTGCCAAGAATTCATCCTGTACAGATGTTAAGGCAAAGTGGCTTATTCCTTCGATAACGAATGTACCCATAATTAGTGTTGATGAAATGAAGTTGAAGAGGGATTCTGCTAAAAACATTGCCACGAAGAATGCTACCAAGTCTATAGAGGGTGAGGAACTTTCAAGTTTCCTTCAAGAAATTGAAGATTGTGGTGATGAAGCAGCACTTATGAGAGTCATAGGACCTTTTGCTTAAAAAATGAGTGCTACTATTTCAAGATCACTGTTACCAAGTGTTTATGACATACATAAGCAAGAATATGAAGTTCTCACCTACAGGAATTTATGTTCTTTGGCACTTCAGGTAGATGAAAAATTGAGTAGCCAGCAACTTCAAGATATTTTGATTGCTACAGTCAACCATAATGAATCAAAGAATTGCTTTCCTTTAGAGTGTCTATTTAGGTCAAAAGCTACAAAGTGGGGATTGTATCATGAGGGTATAGCATTGAAAGCATATGAATTGGAGCAGATGGAAAGCCATGTGAATCTCAATCTAGAAAAAGCTGGTTTGTACATAGATGCAGTTGATTTTTTTTTGGTGCTTCTCCAGATGCGATGGTCCCCTCTGACTGCTGTGGTAGTGGTTGTGTTGAAGTTTAGTTTCCATATTCATTGAAATACATGGAAATAGGTCAATATCTTGATATGGAATTTTCACCTTCGACATGTGATGGTATTGTAACTTCTGTAGATGAAGAACATGCATATTATCAACGAACTCAACCACAGATTAGAGCCACAGAGAATTCTTTCAAATTTTCCTAAAGCATATGAATTCCACAAAAAGGTTATACTTCCTGAGCTCCTCGTGAAAAATTTCACCAAAGGAAGAAAGACACCTGGACCAAATATGGTGTTTTTGTAAAAAATCTGAAGATGGTCGCATCATGATCCAGTGTGTAAATAATAGCTGTGAAATTCAGTGGTTTCACTTAGAATTTGTAGGACTACCTGATATCCCAAACACGTTATGTATGTGTCAACAATGCAGTTTGCAATTAATATTATATTGTACTTCTACTAAGATGCGCATGTTTTACATAATTATTGACACCATCAGAAAAAACGAAGACAAATCCTAAATCTATTTTTCAATTTCTATGGATTTGTTTCACTCACTTATTCTGATATTTATCTATATATTTTGATTATCACTATTTTTGATACTGAGAAGAAATTGAAATATGTGAAAAATTTAAAAACTGAATGAATATTGTGTTGTATAATGTATCATTGAATGATGGATGCCTATTTCAATATGCACAGGTAGTATTATAGGCATATATCTAACTATATTTTGTTGAGAATGATTTTATATAGGTATATATAGGTACTGATTATTATTTTTTTGCATTGAAAACAAAGTTTATATCACAAATAGAGAGAAACTCAAAGTCATTATCACAATAGTTCATAAAATGAACGAAAATGGTAGATAACGAGAGAAAAACAAATACTTTCCTGGCTATATGCTACGAAGAACATTGGATTACATCTTCCCGAAATCTAAGCAATAATTCGTATAGATGAATAACATCGCAAGTGTTTGATGAAAGGTACATATTCTAGTAATCGTCGAAGATCTATCACCAACTTAGTTTTTCGAAAATAAATGAATCATGTGTGTGAATGAAGTGTGATTGTAAAAGTAACGTGATACTGAGAAAAAAAATGATGACATAGATAACTAAAAAAATCCTCAGGACGAAACTAGTAAGTAAGTAAGTAAGTAAGTTTATTCAGTTAGAGTTTGAATGTACAGAGTTAAAACGTACAAATACATTACGGAACATATAAAAATATGAACCTATAGTTATTGTTATATGTATAAAACAAAACATCTATCTATATTCAAGAAAATTTAATCAGAAGAAGCCACCTAAAGCAGGGCTTGAGTTGTGGAACATTCTTCTGCAATCAATATTTTACGATGCAAATATTGAATTAGAAAACTGTAAGTACCTGAACTTAATCTATAAGAGTACGAAGAAAGAAAAAAGGAGCATTTATTCAAGTGAATATTTATCTTTATATTTTTTAAATTTATCAATTATCAAGAATTTTCAGAAATGGAAGAGGGTGAGTTATCAAATATGTTTTCATTTTTACGGAGATTTATATTTCTGATGTTTTTTATGTCAGCAGGCAGCAGATTATAGAATTTCGGACCATAAAACGTTATGAATTTTTGATTCTGGGTAAGTCTGAAGCAAGGGATAGAAAGGGCTTGCAAAGCATTTCTACGTGTTTCATAGCCATGAATAACTGTCAATTGAGGCATATTTGTCATCCATAGAAGCGATTGATAAACGTATAATTTTTGTAAATTGAATACTTCTGACTCTTCAAATACAAGTTGTGTAGAGAAACGTTTGTTTTTTTGAGAATTATTTTTAGTAGAGTATTTTGTATAACCTCCAGATTGTGCACTGATGTTGAAACTACTCACAAATTTCCTTTTTGACTTGGTTCAAGTGAATTGAACATCATATATGCACTCTAAGCTGTTAATGTTCTCGATAAATAAAATATAACTACCTAAAATATTTCATTATTTCTAGTGGAAGTTTTTGATTCGTCGAGATCTCAACATGATTATTTAGAAACATACTAATAGCTGAACAGATGAGTAAATCATTATATCAACTATACTCAAGTCACAATGAGGCAAACATATATTTCCAACTGAATTCGTCATGAATATCTGATCAAGTTGAAAAATAGATACTTCTGTGATTGTTACATGGATAAATAACTCTTAACTCAATTCATGTAGTCATAACTTACAGTCCATAGGTACGTTCACAGCCAGCAATAACAAAATTTTGCTACACCACACTCCATCACCAAATGACACAATCCTATCGATTCGGATGATATGATCGAAACCATTGAACAATAATTGTACACGGGCATCCTTGACCAAGAACAGAAGTGAAGCGATGTCAGCCCCAAAACTGATGGAGAATGTGATCGACCCAATAAGCCAAATTACGATTGTTGAATGATTTTCCAATAACCGTCATACATGTGAATTGCTAGAGTTATTCGTCAACGTATAATGCTAGAAACCCAAACAGCTATGATTATTGAGAGGAACATTATTTTAATTCACCAATAGGCATTATTCACAGAACGAGCTATGTCGATAAAAAATCTAAATAGACTAGAATTTATAAAATACTCATAATGTCATAACACACTAGCGCTATGATGGTAGCAAATGTCCATTCAAGGATAAGACAAATGTTTCAAGAAAGCTATTCTAATTATTACAGAATGGAGAGGATACTATTGTAATAACAAAATGATCAGGAATAGAGAATTTCTTTATAAGTATTATAACAATCAGAGCTGGAAGATATTTTTAATATCCATTTTCTCTCAGTGTGTAGGCATGTTCTTCTCTCGATTACGATTATGTTACGAAAGTTGAAATGGAATATCAGCCTATTATATTGATTCTTGAACTACAAGACCACAATCAGCAAGGATTAAAAAAAAGAGCAAATAATACTTCAATTGACACAGTTTTACCATAACATCAAGAAGCGACAGATTGCAATGTGTGCCTACATCTTGAATTTCATTTGACAGCATCTAGGATTGCCTGATTGAAATTCAATGTTATATTAAAGTGTCGTTGTTTGGGGTTATGTTTATGTTCTTATTTTGTTTTTGTATGTTAATTTATGGCAATGATCCATATTGAGAATGATGAACTGTTCAATTTGTG